TAACTTTGGCCAGTGTTTGTAACTAAGTGGCTACTAAAAAAGACTGGACATTTATAATACTTTGGGTTGTCTGCTTTTGCAAATGGTATGTCATCATGGGGGTAAATTTTATTCCTGGGCTACAAATACGCTCTCAAATGCAACATAACCAATCTGGCAAATTTCAATGTGAAAAAAATGAAAACTGTAATGTGCTATATTTGACCCTGTACCTTTCCAAAACACCATAAAATCTGAACATTGGGGCTACTGCTTTACTTGTGAGACATCGCTGATTACAAATATGTGAACTTTATTGCAGTAACAGCTAACAGTATTGTGACATTCACAGTAAAAATGCCAGGCAGAACTAAAATAATAAAAGAAAATTTTTATTTCTCAATTTTATTTTATAATTTATTCATATTAAAGTATGTTTAATATACTAATATTTGATGTGACATGAAAGCCCTGTTTCCCTTCGAACAAAATGATATAAAATAAGTGCGTGTTCATTTAAAGGACCACTCTAGGCACCCAGACCACTTCAGCTTAATGAAGTGGTCTGGGTGCCAGGTCCAGCTAGGATTAACCCATTTTTTCCTAAACATAGCAGTTTCAGAGAAACTGCTATGTTTATGAATAGGTTAAGCCTTCCCCCAAAGTCTCTAGTGGCTGTCTCATTGACAGCCGCTAGAGGCGCTTTCGTGCTTCTCACTGTGAAAATCACAGTGAGAGAGCGCAAGCGTCCGTAGGAAAGCATTGATAATACTTTCCTATGCGACTGGCTGAATGCGCGCGCAGCTCTTGCCGCGCGTGCGCATTCAGCCCAGGAGGAGGAAAGGAGGAGGAGAGGAGGAGGAGAGCTCCCCGCCCAGCGCTGGAAAAAAGGTAAGTTTTACCCCTTTTCCCCTTTCCAGAGCCGGGCGGGAGGGGGTCCCTGAGGGCACTATAGTGCCAGGAATACGAGTATGTTTTCCTGGCACTATAGTGGTCCTTTAATATGAAAGAGGTGAATTGTGCCTGAACAGACATATAGCGTAAATTCGAGGTTTTGTTTTGATCTCAGTCCTTAAGGGGTTAAAACACGTTTCATTGACCTCGAACAGAAACAATTGCTGACATATTGTATTTGTTTACAAAGTAGGAGCTGGTCTTATATCTGGATACTATTGAGATGCTCTCTGATTCAAATATTAGACATTGCTGGAAAAATGGAAGAATCTTGTGTCCACCCCAATGCATTTCAAAGACTTGTGGGCAGAAACAAAATGACACCTTATAGAAACACACTGTTTAGAAGTAAAATGGGAGTAATTTTTAAATAAACAACACAATTAATATCAAAACTAAGATGAATACTATTCCTGCAAATGAACTATCAGCAATATTTATAAACAAAATAATGCTGGTCTCATAGGATTCATTTAACAGATCACAGATTACAAATACAGTATATGAAATATCAAACAATAAGACTTTATATAAATTATAAACAAAACAGCTTGACATATTTAAATGGCAACAAAGTGTTATTTTTAAAGTAAACACATTTTAAGTGATATCAAACTTAACATAATTCTACAATATTTACTAAAACACTGATTTCAACAATAAACAAAAATTGATAATGCATATCAACATTGTCTGTCTGTCTGTCTGTCTAACATTCCTTCTCTTACATACGTACATGCAATTTGATATAGCTAACCGTGTTAAAGATTATTTTACGTTTCTTATTCTAAGCAAGCAGCATTGCAATATGTTTTGTTAATGTGTCACTGGTTTATATACTAATATACATTAGCTAAAAGACATGGTAACAGATACAGTTAGCACAGAGTCAAGGTGATCAGTTCAATAACAATTGAAGTACGGCAATTTGGGAACGCTAACAGCTTTCATCAGGGCCGGACTGGGACAAAAATTCAGACCAGGCATCTAAAGACAGAGCAGCTCTAGGAGGTCCGAGGTCCGAGAGGGCACCTATTGTGTTATCACCAATGAAATGCACGCCTGCCCAAAGTGGGCATATCGGTTTAATGCCCCTCGGGGTGGCATGGTGTGGGGAGAAAAGGAGAAATAAAGTGTGAACGGGAATATGAGCTGCTGGCTGTGAATGGGGACATGAGCTGTTGGTGAGAGATGGGGATTTTGCAGGTTTATCTAATATAGCTTGCAAAAGCTGCAGATCTCTTATCTGCAGCCTTTGCAAGCCCTCCCCTTCTAACCCCGCCCAGACTTTCTGTGGCTGTCCAATCACAGACTTACCAATGCAGCTCAATGAGAAGTCTTTGCCAGGCAGGTGATGCCTCGAGTTTAGTTGTACTGAACTAAACAACCAGAAGTAACAGGACCGGCTGTATGATCGCCATTGGGGATATCAAAGTTAATTTATAAAAGTGCCAATTTCTATTTTGCAAAATAGAAAAAGATAATGCATTGTTAGCAAAAGTGCTTTAGGTGTCTGGAGTATCCACACGTCTGTTTAATTGTGATCAATGCAGACACCAGTGGAATGTGGTTTTGTATAATTTATACATGTTTTCATGCTAATTGGAGACTGCTTTAATTCAAGTTAAAAGAGAGACAGGTGCGTTACTCACCCCACCCAATGCACAGATAAAATCTAAAAAGTCTCTGTTCTGAAAAGACCGAGACGACAAGCAGTGTGTGCAGATAGATGCCCTCCACCAGGAGCCAGTAGTAATTGGCCGCCACGCAGTATTGCATCATCACGAAGACCAGACGGCAGCTAAGGGATTCCTGGGATGGAGAGAAACACCTTTCTTACATATATTTACACCACAACATCATGCAGACCTTTGTATTTGTGTTACCAATGTATATAAAACATGAATAGTTTTACTGTGTTTTGGAAAACAGCATATTATTTATTGAGAAAAGGACACTATATGTCGAATGAGTTGCACAATAATAGAGTTGAAGAGTTGGGGTCTGAATGCATACACCTGCTATCCATGTATATGTTGAGAGTGAAGGAGTTAATAACGTCAGAAGAGATGACCAGAGACATACAGAAAGCTGCACTTAGCCGTTCTAGTCTCTGTAACTGCAATCAGTTCTCACATTACTAACAAACCTCATATCTTCCTTTGCTGGTCCAGAAGGTAAACTACGAGTCCCAGCAAGGGGCAACTTACTGCACCTAATCAAACTTCACCACGCTCTCCGGTTAACCTGAGTTGGCAGCTGGTTTATCTCTGAGATACATTGGGCTACCCCCGGGAGTGGACAAAACAGGTCCTAGATACATTGGGTTACTCCGGGAGTGGACAAAACAGGTTCTAGATACATTGGGTTACCCCCGGGAGTGGATAAAACAGGTTCTAGATACATTGGGTTACCCCCGGGAGTGGACAAAACAGGTTCTAGATACATTGGGTTCCCCCGGGAGTGGACAAAACAGGTTCTAGATACATTGAGTTACCCCTGGGAGTGGATAAAACAGGTTCTAGATACATTGGGTTACCCCCGGGAGTGGACAAAACATGTTCTAGATACATTGGGTTACTCCGGGGAGTGGATAAAACAGGTTCTAGATACATTGGGTTACCCCCGGGAGTGGACAAAACAGGTTCTAGATACATTGGGTTACTCCGGGGAGTGGACAAAACAGGTTCTAGATACATTGGGTTACTCCGGGGAGTGGATAAAACAGGTTCTAGATACATTGGGTTACTCCAGGGAGTGGATAAAACAGGTTCTAGATACATTGGGTTACTCCGGGGAGTGGATAAAACCGGTCCTAGCTACATTGGCTTATTCTGAAGAGTGGACAAAACAGGTCCTATACATTGGGCTTCTCCAGGGAGTGGACAAAACAGGTTCTAGATACATTGGGTTACTCTGGGGAGTGGATAAAACAAGTCCTAGATACATTGGGTTACTCCGGGGATTGGACAAAACAGGTTCTAGATACATTGAGTTACTCTGGGGAGTGGATAAAATAGGTTCTATATACATTGGGTTACTCCGGGAGTGGACAAAACAGGTTCTAGATACATTGGGTTGCCCCCAGGAGTGGACAAAACAGGTTCTAGATACATTGAGTTACTCTGGGGAGTGGATAAAATAGGTTCTATATACATTGGGTTACTCCGGGAGTGGACAAAACAGGTTCTAGATACATTGGGTTGCCCCCAGGAGTGGACAAAACAGGTTCTAGATACATTGAGTTACTCTGGGGAGTGGATAAAATAGGTTCTATATACATTGGGTTACTCCGGGAGTGGACAAAACAGGTTCTAGATACATTGGGTTGCCCCCAGGAGTGGACAAAACAGGTTCTAGATACATTGAGTTACTCTGGGGAGTGGATAAAATAGGTTCTATATACATTGGGTTACTCCGGGAGTGGACAAAACAGGTTCTAGATACATTGGGTTGCCCCCAGGAGTGGACAAAACAGATTCTAGATACATTGGGTTACCCCCAAGAGTGGACAAAACAGGTTCTAGATACATTGGGTTACTCCGGGGATTGGACAAAACAGATTCTAGATACATTGGGTTACCCCCAAGAGTGGACAAAACAGGTTCTAGATACATTGGGTTACTCCGGGGATTGGACAAAACAGGTTCTAGATACATTGAGTTACTCTGGGAGTGAATAAAACAGGTTCTAGATACATTGGGTTACTCCGTGGAGTGAATAAAACAGGTTCTAGATACATTGGGGGGTTTTCCGGGAGTGGTAAATACAGAACCAAAGTAACCCAGCAAAGATAAGTGCCAAAAAGGTAATATGAGTAAATATCCCAAGTCCAGCTTTGGGTTTAGTAAACACAACTTTACATGACTCACACAGTAAATTAGGTTCTGTTACAGGGAAATAGATAGTATACAAAAATGTTATGATTTCAGCCCAAAACTTTAATAATGATCACATATAGAGATATACATTTGCGAATACAATTATTTTATTACAGTCAAATTACAATTTTAAAAACATTTTGGCTCCTACATCTGAATTAGTACAGGCTAAAATCCAGTTCATGGCATGAAAATATAACAGAGAAAAGCTGTTTAGCAGCTAATTAAAACTCAAGGGATATTAAAAACATACAATTACTTGAGACAAATAAAAAGCTGCCATTTTTATAGGACAATTATAATGTCACTGATTAGATCCTATTGGGTGTCATCTGCTATAATGAAACCAATTATTCAGTCCAACAT